TGTCTTGTAGTTGTTTGGGTTATTTCCTAGTTCAGGCTCCCAAATTTCAAATTTTTAACATGCTTAACTTTTGGGGTATCTTCTGTAGGACCAAGGTTTTTCACATAGAAGGCATGCAATGATATCATATGGATTTGTGCTTTTATTAGTGAATTGTCTAGTATCATTTTTAAAATATTTGCCAAATGTAGTATTTGGATGTAAATAAATGATGGGGCTTACAGAACAGATAATCTTTTGATTTAAGTTTCTATCTCATAAAACAGCAGACTGTGGAAGAGACCTTCTTTAGTAAGATATGTAAGAGAGAACAATTGTCCTCTACAGAATATGTCCTCATCAGAAAAGGATGCCCAGGGCTGGAGATCCAGTCTAAGTTTAATGTTCCTGAATGCCACTTTAAGTAACTGTTTCATTTCTATCCTCAGGATTTCTGAAACCAGGGGCACATGTTAAGCCAGGCGATACCTTCACATATAGGTGGACAGTGCCTGAAAGCGTAAGCCCAGCAGATGGTGATCCCCCCTGCCTGACCTATCTTTACTTCTCAGCAGTTGACCCAATCAAGGACACCAGCTCTGGCCTTGTAGGGCCTTTGCTAGTCTGTAAAAAAGGTGCCCTCAAACCTGATGGGACACAGGTAGGCCATCACCTGTCACTAGGTTCTGTTCAGGGTTGTATGTGGGAGAGATCAATGCTATGGCTAAAGATTAGATAGTGATGAAGAGTTAAATACAGAAACAATTTCTCTTCCTTCCTCTTGAAATTGACCTTTACATAATGGGATTTTTATTTTTGTAATTTAAGATTTAAATTTCTAAAGTTACCAGAGCCTACCCAGGAGCCTAGCATTTCTCTTTATTGTATTTGGGATTTGGCAGACCTTATTCCTTTTGTGATGCTTTGATTCTGAAATCTTTAGAGGTCTACATATATATGATTGGGATCCTTCTTACCACACAAGGTTTCTCACACTTGGCCATGCCAGAAGACATTTTAAGCACAGTTTATTCAAACACTGAAGACGAATAAATCAGATCTCTGTGTGATTCCTATGTGCAGTCAAGGCTGAGAACCACTGTAACTCATTCTTATAAACTGGAAGTTAATCATTGGTGCTGAAGGAACAATAAAGTGTGTAGATAACTTCTTGCAAGTCCCAACTTTTAGAGGCTTGGATATTGCACTGATTAGTGGGGCAAAATAAAGCATTTCAGGCTATGTCTACATGATATGAAATACACTTATGTAAAGAGAAAAATCCAATCATTTAATAATCTGCCTCAGGGGCTGGGGATTTAGCTCAGCGGCAAAGTGCCTACCTGGCAAGCGCAAGGTCATGAGTTCGATTCCTGGTACCTGAAGAAAAGACAAAAAACAAACAAACAAAACAATAATCTGCCTCATGAATTACATAACCAATCAGAAATAACAAGCCAATTTATTTAAGTGGGATATTATATAATATTTGGCATGATACAGACTGCTTCTGGGGTCAGATACATTTCTAGGTTTAAGGAACACAAGCATCTTGGGCCAGCTGAGATCTTCATTTCCTCATATGATGGGCCAACCCCAGAAATGTCTATTATATACAATAAATTATTTATACTCTGAACAATAATATAAGGTAAAACAGAATGACTATCAATATTTTAAAGTTCAAGATACAGAGGGCAAAGAAATTGATTGACAGTCTAGGAAACACACCTGGTAAGTGGAAGAAGTCAGAAAAACACAGGATTTTGAGTATCTAACTCTGTCCTTTTCTCAGTACACTAACTTGCTTCCTGGTCTGAAGAGATTAAGTATCAGAAAATATTTGCAAGGTAGTTCTGTTTTCCCTACTGTATCTATTCAATAGTAAATTTGAGGTTTGCTAGAAGTTCCTCTGTGAAAACCATTGCACAAGGCAAATTACTATTTATAAGACCACTCACATAGTATTCATGGGGGAAAATATTAACCTGAGACAACCTTCCACCTGGAATTTGTTGAGAGAGAAATCCACTCAGCCAAAGTTACTTTCAACCCAGGAAATACTTATTATGTGTCGGTTCTTCTACAGGTAAAATGTTGATCAGGCTTCTTCTAGGCAGGTTGAGAGATGAACATAGAAATAGATGTTTGCAACCCTTTCCAGTAAACTTATAAAAATTCTCCCAGAGGCGAATCAATGTCATAGAATGTGGGATAGGTGATACAAGACCATTTTTAAAATAATTCTGACTTTCCACAATAACTATCCAATCAAACTCCCTACTTCTAGTCCTTATCTCCTTTCCTCTGTCCATCCCTCTCTCCCTCCCTTCTGGGGCATGGGCAACCCATGGTAAGAAGAAAAAGACAGAGAGGAGCAGCCTGACTGCAGGGTACCACGCTGTACAAATGCTTCTGAGCAGGGATTAGTTCCTTGGCGGAAGGCACACAGGGAGAGTAAAGGACGTAATAAGAAAGACACAATTCTCTGAGTTTCTTATAAACTTATCAGTGTCATGCCCAGAAACCTGATTTACAAAATGACCCAGTGACTCTGGCTAATGTTGATCAGCCCTAATGCAAAAGTATAAAGTTGTGTAAAATTTTAAAATGAAGCAGTGCTAGGAATTCTTGCAAGATGTACTCCGTATCTTCATTTCTTCCTTCTCCATAGACAGGAATAGACAAAGAATTTTACCTGCTGTTCACAGTCTTTGATGAGAATCTGAGCAAGTATCTTGATGAGAACATTCAGAAGTTTACCTCGCGTCCCTTCAATGTTGACAAGGAAGACAAAGGGTTCGTGAAATCCAACCGAATGCATGGTACGGTAAATGGCTTTCTGTCCTGTCAGTGAAAGGCTTAATTGCATTTGAAGTGAAATATTTGGAATACTTCAACCATGTTAGTCTTGTTGTTTTCAGTATTGCTCTTGGTTTTGAAGTAGATTAGTTCATGCCTTCAGCTTCACAGGTATCTCCCAGACATATTGTGAATCTTAATGATTACTTCTAAAATTAGATAAGTAACAGAAATTTGAACTAGAAAAAATAACATCAGAAATTCAGAAAATTACTGACAAAATTCCATCCCTTGGGTTGGAAATAACAGTGAGTCAGGTAACTCAAGAGATAATAGGTGATAATCTTACACAGCAAAATATGTATCTCTAATCAAGTAATATGAATGACTGCTGAAAAGGTTAATTTGTAGAATACTAGCAGTTGGACTTTGGGAGGAATTGCTTAGTTTCCTCATCCTATCTCTATGTCAAGTGTTACAATGGCAAGCCGCCTGGGAATTTGTTGTGACTGACAGGAGTCCCATTAGTCCTGGGCGTATTATTTAAGGTGGCAGGGTAAACTCATGCCTGCAAGAGTGAGAGGTTGATAGAAGTGCTAATTCAACTGCTGTAAAATGACAGGTGCTAAACTGCTTGTTTTAATCCAAATATAACATATATTTATTGCCTTTTTAAACATTATTGAAGAATAAAAACATATTCCCTAACCTTCTTCCCAGCAAAGGATAAAAAGCTTCAAGGTTAAAAGTAACCCACAGCAACCAGTTATAGCTTCCCATGGTCCCTGGTGCTCACTTCCAGAAGAATCCCCACCTAGACCAAAGGAAAGTGTGGACTCTTATATTTTCTTCCAGAGAAGTTGTGCTATAAATAGATATGAAATTTGTTTGCAGTTCTTACTAGACAATAAAAAGCTCAGCTAGAAATGGGAAGACAGTAATTCCTTAGTGGGGAATCCAAACATAAAAGAAATTTATCATCAGAGACTCCTTTATGTAGAAAATATAAAACAACTGAATGGACCATGTAAAATTCAATCCCAACCTGGTTTGGCATTGTGAAATTCATTTTAATGTTGTGGAAATGCAGGATATTCATTTCAAAGCAAAGCATAAGGATAACTATGTATCTCAATTTAAAATTCACAGTAATTATAAGAGAACCTTTAAACTATAGTTCCAAATCAAGGAAAAATTCCCTATCAAGTCAGCCAAATACTAAATTACCCTAATTTACACTAATATTCTTTGACATTTGATGGATAAGATTTAGATTATTTATTTGCAAAAGCATCATCAAACTATTTTTTTCCCCAGAAACTGTTCTTCTCATAAGCCCCATGGTTTCTTTGAATTTCTAGTAATATTACCATGTTTAAGTACAAGTACCAAGCACCACCGCTTTCAAAAGACACAGAAATAAAGTAATTTTATTTGACAATGAGATTATACCAGAAGGCCATTCATATATATGACACTTGTTCTTAGTATAGGCAATAGTATGGAATAGGAGGGGGAAGTACATTTATCTCTCTAAAGAACACCAAACATGAGGCATAACTATGTGCAGCTGCCCATGACTTCTGATACGCAGATTACACACTTGAAACCTCCTGTCCCAAATATATTAATGAGCTTCGGCTAGAATGGTGTTTTTAATGTACCCACATAACTGTGGTGGGCTCTGACTCTCTTCTTCCTTCTCTCTAGCGATTAATGGTTACATGTATGGCAACCAACCAGGCCTAAGCATGTGCAAGAAAGACAAAGTTTCCTGGCATTTGATTGGAATGGGTACTGACACGGACATGCATGGAGTTTATTTCCAAGGGAACACCATCCACCTGCGAGGGACCCATCGTGATTCTCTGGCTCTGTTTCCCCACATGGCCACAACAGCATTCATGCAGGCAGACCATGCAGGTAAGCGTGCCGAGTCCATCCCAGGTGGCGAAACTCTCACCCAGAAGAGACCAGTAGACTTTGAGGACTCAAGGGTGTAGAACAGATATAGTCTCGGTTCAAACCAGAGGGTCCTGGCTATTTTAGTCCAAACACATAGTGTCTAGAAGAGACGAGGCAACATCCACAAGGCAGGAAGTGGGAGCCCTCTGAATGACTTTGCTGCCCAAATCCTGGTGAATGTTCCTGATTCATATCCCTGAAAAAGGATTTTTTTCTAATAAGAAACCAGTACGCTATCCAAGATGAGTACTTGTTGAGTACACTAATATTCTTTGACATTTGATGTGTGTAATCTGTCTCACTTAGTAATGGACAGGCTACTTCTTTTTTTATTTTCATTAGATTTTATTGGTAGATTTTTAGATATACATAACAACAGGCTTCTTTTTTTACCTTGCCCTGGAACTGCAGTTCAGATGCCTCTGTGTCATCAGTGAAGAATTTGAGGCTTGAATTTCAAAACCTTTGCCCAAGAACTGCCTGAGGCTCAGAGCTCTATGATCTTTGCCTTATAAATTTGTAAATTTCTAATAGTGTTGAACCTCTTCACATTAGTATATGTGATTATAATTCACCCAAACCAAGAGATGCCTTAAACACAGTGTTTCTTTAATGCATTTTTCAAGTCCAAAGACGGGAGGAGTTTGGGAAACAGCCAAACCATCGTAACCCGCAGAAACAGACACTCAAAGATGGAGGTGGCTGGAATATTTCAGCGCTTTGATCATAATCATATGCCCCACGGGCTTCTAGAGAGCTTTGTGACAATGTTTTCTGGTTTATGTTTGGTGCTGAGCATAAATTTGTACAGTCTAATAGCTTGGTCATTTCACTAATTCTCATGCCTTACCTGTAAGCTGAGAAGAGTACTCAAACAGTACTCAATGAAAAGTGCAGAGAATAGGATGAAAAGCAAACATTTTCTTTTTATTCTTAAAGAAAATAATTCCTCCACTATTGAAAAACTGTGATGGGAACATACGTCATGGGCTACCAGGAGAAAAAAGTGCACAGGGAGGTCTTTCCAAGTCTGCTCTCAGAGGTGTCTTCTCTGTGGCTTCACAAAGACTCTTCCTTATGAAGATCCTGTTCAGTGGAGGAGTTTTGGCACCCATGAGGTTAGCTGGTCTGTTTATCCAGAATGGATACTTTGGTAACATTTAACAACAGAGTTGCATGTGAAGCAGGATGGAAGCTCTATCTGCGCACTGTTGAGGTTAACGAAAGGCACATTAATCACTCACCTCTAAGAACAGTGTGTTAGAGAAAGGAGAAATCTACTGGTCCAATAATTTCACTGAGAGTTAATATCTCAATTTTGTTTCACATGACTTTATGAGACTTTATATCAATTATGATTTATCTACCTGATGCCAATGCAGTAGAAAATTTAGTTTAGAAAATACATACACTTCACTCAGATATGATTATTGATAGCATGTAGAAAAATCTAGTTGATATTTCCCTTCTTTTTTATCTGGTATTATTTAGATTTATCATTGGCCATGAGATTCTCCTTTACTCAAGACTTTAATGAAGTAATATATTTGGCTCTTGTAATAATAGCTCACATATTTATTGTGATTTATAGCTTTTGAAACCCTTTAGGGCAAAATCTGGGACTTCAGGAAGATGGTCTATTCTGAACTTTTCTGGGATACTTTATGGTGGATATTCATCTTACAAGTAATTAGTTCTTTTTAAATTAGGCTGGACTAAAAGAATCACACTCAAAAAAATAAAATAATCAAACTCACTAGTGATTTCCCTGGAGTGATTATCTTCTTGTAGGTTTGCAAAATAGGGACTATCCAGAGAAGTTATTTTCCACTGCAAATGAATTTCAGATGGTATGTTTCCTCCAGAAGTAAATACATTAAAAGTACTTTATTTCCTTTGGGGTCTGACTCTAAAAGACCACAAAATGGAAGTTTTAAAAGTCCACCGTACTGGTTGCTGATTTTGAAATAAAATGTGTAGAGTTGCTACAAGCAGACCATAGGCACTGACAAAATCTAGCACTGCACACAGTGTCAAGCCCCTTCTCTTTCAGGTATTTTCAAGGTGTTTTGCTCCACCTTGCATCACTTCACCAGAGGCATGGGTCAGATATATGAGGTCAACAGCTGTGGCAACAGGGACCCTTCTGAGCAGCCCTACGGGATGATCAGAACCTTTTACATCGCTGCTGAGGAGGTAGAATGGGATTATGCCCCTAACAAAAACTGGGAGTTCGAAAAGCAGCCCTTGGACGCAGGAGGGGAAAGGTACCACAGGCGAAGCCGCCAAGTCTCTTCGGTGGGAGTGCATATGCTCTGTAGGCATTTGTCAGATATTGAAATCTAAAAGTGCCAGGGTATTTTCTGCACAGATTAGGAAAGCCTGGAAGGGAGTGTGAGGTCCTTCTGAGGGCACTCCTCTCAGTTCTGTATACTTCTTCCAGTGGTGAGTGGTCTGCTGTGTGGCTGGTGATGGATGGATGTGCCATTGAGCAAGCACACAGAAGGAAAGCACAGGAGAGACACTGTGGGACCAGGAAGACAACAGAGGGCAGAGGAGGTAGGCAGGGTGTATAGGTCCCAAATAGGCTACTATAGAATGAAGAGCACAGGGAAGGGGAGCTGAAGACAAGCTATTTGCTGAGTATTGATCTAGGTGGGACAACTAAGGAAGAACAGGAGGTCATTGACTTAGGAGAGACCCCTAAATCAGGATGGAAATTAGGCCCTGTACTCAGAAAGTCCTCAAGATTGACCCTTCTTTGAAAGTGATGTCAGCCAGTACTACATGCCGAAGAATCAGCAATACTTGAACCACATGCAGGCTTGTGACTGTTGGTCTTCTACTGCCCTGACCCCAGAGTCCAGTAATCAACTCTCCAGGTGCCCCAGTGTAGAGTTACACAAGGAAGAAATCGGGTGCAGACTATAGTCCTCCTCCCCCAAAGTTAATACCATTCACTTCACAACAACCTGCTGTTTGTGTATTGCTGTTCTAAATGCAATGAGGAAACTTGGGCTCAAATAGTGAAGTTGTCCAAGTAGTCACTGGCAGAATTGAATATAGATCTTTTGAAGGTAAATCCATGGTCTCTCCAATATATTATATTGTCTTTCCTGCCCCGATTTCTTTGTTTCTTATTATCACCTACTTCAACCCCTCTGTGCTGTACTTACCTGACTGCACCTTATACAAATCCTCTTGGCTGTGGCATTCACAAAGAGCTCTAAAATCTGCTGTTCCTAATCTTAACATAATTTTTTTTCTTACTTGTTGTTATTAGCTGGCCTTTGTTTTGAAGTGTCATACTCCTGGAAAAGAGAATGTATTAATGTCATTTTATGGATTAAAAAAGGAAAATGACTATGTTGAAGATTTGCCTTGAGGACAAGATTTAAAATCATGCACTTATTCACTAATCCATTTGTTCAAGTAGACACCCATCTTCTGGGAAACTTGTACCACCAATTCAAACTAAAGACCAATGCTAGCATGGTAGAAAGTGAAATGCATACTAATTTGAGCTTTTCTAAAATGATTATTTCACTAAATGACTGCAATAGCTGAAGCAAAAATTGCATAATAATTTTACTATGTGTACAAAACCCACAAGTGTGTAAGAAAGAGAGCCTTCATTATTCTCTTGCAACTCATTTTAACCTCTGTCTGAAGACCCCATTCCTCTGGAATAGCAAGGAAGTCTACCTTAAGCTATGGGTTTCTCTCCCAAGTACTGGGGAGGAGAGGTAAAACGCCATAATTCTCTCCCTCCCCTGTACATTAATGCTTTAAATAAATAAGATCAAAGTGAGATAAGGTCTTGTTTCAAAGGATACCATATTCTATGGATAAACATTCAGTATGGAACTGAAATGACAAGTTCTCCTAATGACACTTTTGCATCTCTGTAATAGGAGCCCAGGGACAATACCCTTCAGGACCTCAGTTTCTATGCCTCTTTTTTTTTGCTGCAAAGCCAAAGTGGGGTCATGTCTGCTTTTCAGACCACCTCTTAATAAAGGCTAACTCTGAGACATTTATTGTTCTGGTCAGTACAACCCCTCTTCTATACATTGGGACTTAGAGGCCTTTCTTTGAGGTTACCTAAGATCATGATGAGAAGTCCTCATGATCCTAGAAAGACAACAAATAAGGCCACCAGCACAATTTCAAGGGATAAGTTGCAGTAGAAGTGAGTTTGAAAACAGAAATTAAGTTATATAGAAAAATAAAGTCATAATCCTAGTACTCTTGAACTGTGGACTGATATGTGTGATTTTTAACCATTCTGGGACTCATCATAATATTCATTATCTATTCAGCACATACATGCACCAGGCATTTTGCTAAGGTTTTTACAAACTGTATGTGATATATGTTTGACCCATTCAACCAGTTTTTGCTAAGAATCCCATGTAACTTCCTCTTGAGGTGATGATAAATTGTTTACACAGTGCTTCATATATACCTGACATTGTGCTTTACCAAGATGAGTTCATAGTCCCTTATAGCAATTCTTTGAGGTAGGTGCATTGTCATTGCCCAATTTTGCACAGGAGGGAAGCTGGGAAACACCAGAGCCTGGCTCCGGGGTCTGTGCTGGTCATCACCACGAGCATTACTAGAACTCATGGAAAGTGAAAGTAGAAGAAAAGTTGTCTTCCTTTGTAAAGCATATAGTGTAGAGCAGAAGGTATGTATGCATTTATTGAATACCTACTGTGTGCTATGTGCCATGCAAAATGCTGATGAAACAGAGTGGAGGAGGACAGCTGAGGCGATTCTGGAGTCATGGTCCACGAGGAAGATGTCAGAACAAATGTATGGAGTGAGGCAGTGGCTAAGAAAAGGAAGTTGAGGGTACAGCGGAGCTCAAGACAGAAGTACACATGCCGTCTTAGGGGAGGGTGAGGAGAGGGTAGGTGGTGAGGAAGAGCTTCCTTAAGAGTCTCTGAGTTTGGATCCATTCAGTACCCAGCAGTGCTTGGGGGCAATTGTTTCAGAGGTGGGCCATTGGCTGCACTGCCCTTATCGGAATCTAAAGAGCTTTAAAGTGTTGGTTCTTGGTCCCACTTCCACAGAGTGGTGCAAAAGGCCAGCTTCCTGGGGTGATTCTGATCACAGCTGGATTCTGGGAGTAGTACTCTGGAGTACTCCCAAATTACTAAGAAACACTCAAGGTTTTTCTTCCTTCTAACAATCTTAATTTCTGAATTGCAGACATGGAGATATATTTATGAACCACACTGAAAATTGGATTGGCTCTCAGTACAAGAAGGCAGTTTACAGGGAATACACGAATGGAGAATTTGTGGAGATCAAGGCTCGACCACCTCGAGAGGAGCACTTAGCACTCTTGGGTATGGCACAGATTTTAGCCATGCACTGATAGCCTCAAGCACATGCATGCACACCCACACACTCACACACAAACACACAATGTCCTGCAAGATTGAGAAGGTATGGGAGAGTAGCATGACTGCATTCATCCAAGTGGGAATTCATCTTCCTGCTCAGCCATTGTCAGGGAGTCATGCACAAACAGGAATATGAGATGACACACAAACAAGAATTCATACCATCAGGGAAGTTTACTCATGTCTAATCTCTTGAGCTTCTTTCCAACTTCTCTACGGAACCATGTCTCAGAACATCAGGACTTACTAGGTCCTAGGTTGTTCATGCGTAGTGTCATACCAATGCATCATAAAAATAATTATGATGAAAGAAGAAGTCTTTATGTGAGATAGGTGGCAAGGGATAACAGGTCTGATTTCAGTTCAGGAGGCCTCAACCCATGACCTTCCTAGAATTCAGTGGAGCTGTCTGCAGCCTTCGGCTGTCTAAAGCAGCTACCTGGCCTGGCCATCAGATAAGCTCTTTCTGTTTTCCTTCCCCATTTCTCCTCACCGGGGAGTTACCAAATCTGAACCCATCTTGAAGTTGAGATTTTAAGGCAGAGGGCAAATACAGAGGACTTTTCGAAATTCTTTTCCACTTTTAAACGCACAATATAACTTATGTAAGCAGTATGGCTCTAGATAGTACTTTTTTATATTCAAATAAGGTGCTTTGACTCCCAGCTTGATAACTTATTAAATGTTCCAACCCCTGCTCCCCACTTCCATAGTCTTTACACACTGGCACTTGAACTTGTTTCTCAAAGCAGATGCAGTAGTCAGCTGCAATGGAACATCCATTCATTTGAGCCATAAAGGTCCGCAGATCTCTGGAGGAAAGGTGTTCGTCCCACTGAGGAGGTTGAGTATACTTCCAAACAGCCTCATTCGGTTCTCTTCAGTGAAATGACAGGAGTGACTTTATCAGAGACAAATTCATCAGCCTCTGCCTGTGGAGGGTGAGGCCACCTACTCATTTTCTGCAGCTTAAAGAGGGCCCCGGCCACTTAGAATTGCTCAAAAGTCACATTACAGACACACCTCAGTTCACCACTGTGCCCTTTGTCCTGTTATATTGTAAATCAAAGGCATTTGTTCTTAGCAGTAGAGCAAGATAGGTGCAATTTAAGTGGTAATTCATATACAAATAATTATTTAATATATGTACACACATACATCTATCTGTAATTCTGCCCTTATTTACCATTAAAACATATATAGGATTATTTTCCAGCTTTTCATTATAAAAGAAAGAGTTCTTTTGGAAATGTTTTGAAAATGCTGACTATTGTTTTCTGAAGATAATAATAGTCCAACAGATTTTACATTCACTGATGCCTTTAGTGACATTTCTCAGAAAAACAATCAAAACTGTAGCTTGAATCAGTGAAGAATGGATTAGTGTTGCCACATCCCTGGCTCCGAGTGTATCTCGTTATGTGTGTAGAATCCACCAGAAGTCTAAGAGAGAACCTCAGAGATTTAGGTCTGAGGTGCTTCTAAAAGAGGAATTCACTCACCAAGAAGCCATGCATTATGAAGATCGCTGCAAATCCCACTCTGATGAGGGGGGCACACACATTCTGAGCACCACAGGGTGAGAGGTACCTGGCTTGACTGAGGCCCTCAGACAGTCACGCTGGCACAGGCTCCCTCCAGCAGTGTGAGCTCATCCTCATGGGCATGCAGGCTGCTTACTTCCACCAAAAAAGTACACAAACGAGGGACTGGAGAGTGCCTGTCTCCTCAAAGTTCTACATATTGAGAGATAGAATTACATGTGTTGCTAGATGGGTGCTGTTAGCGAAATCACTGTGTGGATCATAAATCAATGCATAATTGCTTTTATTTCACTTTTATCTTTCAAATCCCTTAATATACATTACTTCATTGGATCCTCACTGTTATATCCATTTCCCAGAGATAATAAACAATTTTAGACTTATTTACACAGGATGATTATAACTACACTCACTGTGTGGATATAGCCTTTCTTAAAGCTGATTTCACAGTAGTAGTAAAATGTTAAGCATTTATTGAACACTTATTATGCTTTGATGAACTGAAATAAGCTTTTTATATGTACTACCTTATTTAATCCTCACTATAACCCCCCTCACGAAATGTATTATTAAACTTGTTCTACACATAAGGAAATAGAGACTGAGATTACATGACTCACCCAAGGCGTCTCTTATACCTGAAGGAGAGAGACTTTGAATCTGGGTCAGTCCCATTGCTAAATACTGCACAGTATTTAATACTACACAGTATTGCCCTCTAAAGGCAGAGCATTAGTGAAGAAGCTAGCCTTTGTTTTATTATGTTAAATACTGCTACCTTTACATTACATCCATGTTGGAGAGAACAATAATAATGCACACAGTCCTTTGTTTTACCTTTAGGCCCAATGATCCATGCTGAAGTGGGTGACTCCATCTTGATCATATTTAAGAACAAAGCCAGCAGGCCCTACTCCATCTCAGCCCAGGGTGTGGAAGACATGGACAGTGGGAAGGGACTCCAAGTGCCCATTACAAAGCCAGGTAACTATGCTAGAGGTCTGCTCCATCTTGATGAGGGCACCAGATACAACCTTTTTCTGATTTCAGGTGTCTTGGAGAACTCATCTTAATGCCAATGTGTTTGAACCATCACCTGGTTACTCCTGGTATAATGACAAAGTATCCAAGGAGTTTTTAGAGCATCATTTGAAACCCCAAAGTGTAGTAAGAAAAAGTAATGGCTGTCTTTGTTACTTTTCTCATTGCTCAGACAAAATACCCAACACCCAAAGTTAAAGAAGGAAAGGCTTATTATGTAGAGATTTCAGTCTATAATCAACTGGCTTCAAGGCAGGATGGCATGGCAGAGAGGCATCACAGAGGATGGCAGGCATGAAGGAAGGCAGC